GATTTCTGGCCTGTCGACTGGGAGTTCGGCGTCGACGTCGCTTGCTGCGATGGATACTGGCCGGCCGTGGAATATGCCGATTCGCCTGGGAGATGAAGTCAATATGTGAGAAGGAATAAGTGGCTCGTGACAAAAGTGAAGTGTACTCACTTTTCCGTTGTGTAGGCCGTCCACCAAACACGGTTCCTCGTTTCACGAATGACAGGGTCAATGGCGGCCCCGGGATGCTTCCGGTGCATACCATTCTGGATTGCGAGCTTGACCGCCAGGTTCAAGTAAACGTACGACAGCCCCGAGGCGTCGAGTGGTAACGTATAGAGGCCGATGAGCAAACACGCCTGAACGCTCTCCAGCGACGATATGGTAATCACGTCGGGGACCAGCCGGCACGCCTGCTGATAGAACATTATGCCGATGGTGTCCTCCGAAAAGGGGCTCGAGTCGGCGGCGGCGCTGGGTGGGCCGCCCCTCTCGTTCCGGGAGTCGAGGTAGGCGTACTGCGTACCGATGGCGAAGATGATGAGGATCATGCAGACGGTGCCGACGTCGCGGCGCGTCAGGGAGGCCGAGTTCTCGTAGACGAGGTCGAGCCTGTCCATGAGCCAGTGACGCTCGACGTAAAAATAGCTCGTCTCGGCATGATTGAAGAAGGCCTGGACGAGGAAGTCTGCGACGTAGCGGGGCGGGAGGGAGGAGAGGGAGGCTACTGTGTTGGAGGGGGACTGGAGTTCTTCTGGGCGGTAGTATTCTTTGAACTGTGTCTTTGGACCATCCGGGGCGTCCTATGAGAAGGGGGGTCAGCGATGCCGACTTGGTTGAGGTGAAAGGGCGTGCATGCTTACGTTTACACACTGTTCGATCCATTGCTTTATCCGCATGGAGAAGTTCCAGTGTGAGAACTCGCCGGAGTAATCTGCTCGGAGGTCAACATGGCGGTCTACGGGGAGAGGTCCTTCGGGATGCTAGAGCCGAGCCTGTTGAGGGTCCGGGGAAGAGGGAAGGGTAGAGCAGGGGGAAGGGAGGAGAAGGGGAAAGGGAAGAGAGATAGGGCCCGCCTTACGTGTGATGTTGTTCTCCAGAGGCTGAACCGTTATCTCGTCAACCTTGAAAGAGTCGGAGCTCTGCGATTGCACCTCTGCCTCGGCGCCGACGTCCGGCTCCATGGCGACATCCGCTCCACCGCCAGCACCAGCACCGCCGCCGGCCCCGGTCACCGCGCCCTCCGGGCCGGTGCGCGGTCGTCCAGCAGGCGACTTCATCTTCTCCACGGACTCGGCCAAGGTCTTTAGAGTCTCGGCGTCAAGGGTGCTCTTGCCGGTGTAGTGCGCCAGGAGCCGCTCCATGTAGGACATTCTCTGGCTCAACTGAGCGTCTTCATGATGTTGCGAGTGGCGGGGTCTATCATTATTATACCCGCCGATATGGCCCTTTTGTCAGCCAGATGTTTTACATTGGTGCAAAGAACCCAAGGGAAAGAAAAGCATGAGATATCGCATTGAGGAATCTTATAACAGTGCTACGTTTGGGGAAGGACATGGGTATAGAGAAGTAAGAGGTCTATAGGTTCTCACCTTGTCGAGTTTTCCGATCCGGGCTCATCTCTCGTCGTGGGCGTGAGGAACTCGCACTGCCGGCGCAGACGGGTGCACCGGCGGCAAGGGACTCCTCCGTCGCATTTTTCCTTGAGTCGCCGACATCCGTCACAGCTTGGTCGCGTCAGCATGAGGGAGGTTCCCGCACATCAATTGGACCGAGTAACTAGTATTGAAAATGTGACTGGACAGGAACGTGGGAGGAAAAACAAAACAAAAGAAATGGGCTTCATCATACGCTCGAACTGCCCTCTTCCGCTCCTTATCCGCTACGCGACGCTGCTTATGTCGTTGCAGGCGCAAGCCGTCCTCGGGATCCATTTACAACTTCTTCTTGGAGTCGCAATAGCCGATAAGGGGACCGTAGTAGATAGCGAGAGAGGGCGGCAGCAGCGGACTGTGCCGATCAACAGGGCCAGGCGAGGACCCGGGCCGGTGGTGGAGGACTCTCTCTGTCTATGTTTGTCCCTCTGTGTCTCTGGCTTGGTCTTTTTTGTGTGTAGGGAGGTTCGTCTAGGCTCTCCGCGGAAAGTGTTTCCCAAGTGACCCCCCCGTAACGAAGGAAGCCCGTGTTCAGAAAGGAAGGTCTGGTTCCTGTCTCTCAATGCCCTTGCAAATTCCTCGGAATTGGGAGTGGGCAAGGTATGCGGGTGGATAAAGGGATGAGTGAGTGAGTGAATGAGAGTGGTTGTTCCGAGTTTGTGTGTGAGGGGAGCTAAGATAGGCCTGCTGGCGCTGACTCTCCGGCTGCGTCTACTACCTGAGTCCTTCGCGCGCCCCATTTCCCAGAAGGCCAGAAGGGGAGGGGGTCGGGGAGGCAGAAGTTCGGCGAAACCTCCAGCGCCGCGGTCGGCGGCGGGGTCGGAGGGGAGCGGACCCGCTGTTTTTTTGGTGACCAAGACGCGGGGAAGCCGGCTATATCCTGGTCGGAGCCGAAATGTTGCATGGAGCACAAACCCAGGAACCCAGATTCTGGAGTTGCCTTGACTCGTGGTGCGGCATCTGACTGTGTTCTAGACTCGTTCACTTTAGAAGACTCCAATTCAAACTATAGGTAGACAGTCGATGTTGAGTGATGCATTCGCTGACATAGAGAAAGCTCTTACGAGGGGGAAAAGCAAGGAACAAGAGGTTTCTCGAGCTCGAGGATTCGAGGTTGTATTATTGTACAGAGTAGACCAGTCTCTTATTGACTTATCGTCATATTAGTTAGAGTCGTGGCCCGTATCCCCTTCAAAGCTTCGCCTTCACATCATCCTCCCACAAAGACTTGAGTCCGTCCTCGAGCGGGCTATCGATCCTCTCGATCCTCGCCCTCGACGTCTCCATGATCCTCGGCAGCCCCGTGCTCTCAAATGAAGCCCCATCGCGAATCATGGCCGCCACGCCTTTACTCGAGAGCAGAATCTCCGGCATGCCGTGACCAGAAAACCCGGCAATGATGTACTGCCCCGGCTTCCCAGGCACACCACCCAGGTGCGGCATGAAATCGGAGCTGTACCCCATGATGCCCGTCCACACCCTCTCCGTCGTCGCGCCGCTCTCCTCCCACCCGCGGAAGTGCCTCTGCATGTACCCGTCAAAGTACGGCGACGCGCCCTTCACTAGCTCGTCGTCCCGGACGTTGTCGAACCACTCGCCGCGCTTATGCCAAAACATCTGCCGCGCGCCGCCGACGACGATGCTCCCGTCCGCCCGGGGGATGAGGTAGTCGTTGTTTCGCGCGTCGAAGCGGATGCCGTACGTGTTGACCAGGTGCGGGCTGTTGGGGCCCCCCGGGGTGGTGATGCGGCTGCAGAGGCCGCGGACGGGGACTATGCGGTCTTCGTATTGCGGGAGGACTTGAGCTGTGTAGCCGTTTGTGGCTACGACGACTGTGCCGGCGCTGATGGCGCCGCGCGGGGTCTGGATTGTCCAGCGGCCGGCGGCGTCGGGCGTTGATGAGATCGATGTTACTGGCGTGTTGGCTTGCAGGTTCAACCCCTTTTTGAGGAGGCGGTCTAGTAGCTGGTGGACCATTTTTGCTGGCCATAGATGTGCTGCTGTGAAAGAGAAGGCGCATTGAGCGCCCTTGACTCCTGAGACCTGTGTTTGGATGATTAGTCTATATCTCTCATCATCGATGTTGGGGGGGGAATAGACTTACCCTTTCAGCATCCTTCTTTGGAGTGAAAGCAACATCCTTCATATTCACGACCCCCGCCTTCACTAATTCCCGATACGCAGCCTCAGTCTCCTTGGCATGCTCCGGATCAAGATACACATCCACCGCCCTTGTCAAGTGAAAGTCGCAATCCAAGCCCTCGCTCTCCACGAGCTCCTTGACGGCATACACATTCGAGGCTTCAAACGCAGCCAACTTGGCCGCCTGCTCGGGACCAAAGAGCTTGGTGTACTTTGGCACCTGGAAATACGTGTCGGGCTTGACGTGCCCGCCGTTGCGACCCGAAGCGCCGGAACACACCTTCCTGGCCTCGAGGATGGTGATGGACGGCGGGGATGGGTTGTCCTTGAGGATGTGGTAGGCCGTGGCGACGCCCGCGAAGCCGGCGCCGACGATGACGATGTCGCTCGCGGCGGGGAGGTCCTGGGTGGTGCGGTGGTCGTCGAGGGGGCGGGGGGCGGCGTTCCAGAAGGAGGGGACGGGGTTGGAGACCGGGGTCCGGTTTGTCGGCTTTGGTACGGGCATGGCTTGGGGTGTGACGGGATGAGAGGTGGGCTTGGCAGGCTTCTTTCGGGCTTCCCTTTTTCACAATAGGAGGGGCAAAGGTTCACTGGGCAGGCTAGAAGTGAAGTCCGAGCTGATAAGCAATATGTGTGGACTTTCTATATACCAATGTTGGGGAAGACAAGCGCCTCTTTGGGCTGGTACTACTATCAACGTACGAACCGGCACGTTTCAATGAACCAACGTGCCGTTGAAGCTCAATTGAAGCTGATAAGAAGCACTGGAGGCCGGAAAACCGAGATAAGATGCATCGGGCATGGGACTCATACCCACCGATATCTTTCTGGTTCTAGCTCCGGATCACGGGTGGATGTCAGTGCTTCTTGGAGGGGTTTATGACGGAAAACACGGCGAGTGTCCGAGACCGGAGGCCGAGCCGGCGGCGGGGGAGGACGGGACCGGCAATTTGCCGGGTCCTCTCTTTTTCTCTCTAAGGTGTGATAAGCAAATGACAGACGCCCAGTGACATTTGAGAAAAGATATCCACAGCGAATCAGCTTCAACCTACAACCCGAGAACGATATCTTTCTTCACAGTAGAAAACAATGCGTGAAGATTGGTCATTTTGTTCATTATTCCGGGGGAGTCTACCGCTTAGAAAAGCGAGACCGAGGACTAAACACCCCCAATGATCTTTCCCCCATCACACGGATAAGGATCCCCCCTCCCCATCACGCCGTTTACGCCGCGGCCGCCCCCTCCGAAGCGGCTATAATCTTCCGCGCCATGTCAGGCAACTCGGTCGCCATGACATCCATCTCCCCAAACAAATCCGTACACGGCTCCCCCTCGTACACGGCGCACCACGCCCCCTTGAACCCGCACCCCTTGGCCGCCGACGCATCCCACATGTGCGCCGCCGCGAACCACGCCTCCTCCCCGCCAAAGCTCTCCAGCACGGGCTTGTACGCCCTGGGGTCCGGCTTGCCGATGCCGTCCGCGTCGCAGCTCTTGAGGTTCTCCGCGGGCATGTCGATGCCCGCCTTGGCAAAGTACCCGCCCACGCGCTTCGCGTCGCCCGCCGTGAAGGCCCAGACTGTGAAGCCGGCTTCTCGCAGCAGCGTGAAGCACTCCTTTGTGCCGGGCCGGGCCTCGAGCTCGAGGAAGCGGTCCATGATGTAGGCTACGTCGTCGTCGGTGGCGAGTTTGCGCGGTTCCGGGACGCCGGCTTGGAAGAGCATGCGGTAGAAGAGGCTGCGGAAGATGTCGTAGAAGCGGCGGTAGCGGCCTTGGATGGAGAGGTAGGTGTACTCGCGCTCGGCGGCCTCGATCCAGGCGAAGCTGAGGAGGGCGGGCTTGATGTTGTGTTGTGCGAGTTTGGGGCCGAGACGGGTTTCGATGGCGCGGGGGATGGCGTCGTAGGACATGCAGGTGCCTACGATGTCGAAGACGACGTGTTTCCTTGGTGATGACATGTTTGTGTGTGTGTGTGTGTGTGTGTGTGTGTGTGAAGGGGAGAGTTCACAAGGTGATTTTGATTAAGTGTGTGAAGAACTTCTTTTTGGGTAAGGTAAGTTTATGTGATTGCGAACCTGGTCTTGAAGGTTTATATGAGACCATCACGAACTTTTCAGCCATTGAAAATAGACCATTATCAAGAAAAAAAAAGTGATAGATAGCCTCATCACCGGTGCGCATCATCGCCCTATCTCGGCGCCTGGGCCCGCGGGGATGAGCGGGGTACGGTGTACCACCGCACGTGTCATGCCGCGACGATCCTTGTTACCCCAGCCGGCTGCTCTGGCGGATCCGACGAACCGGTTGCGTATCACTCGACGGGGCGACCAGTCCCGAGAGGGGGATGCCCCGAAAATAGAGACCGCAGGTATTTCCCGGTTCTTGCATGATAAGCTACCGGCCGCCAGCCGCGCTACCCGTTGGTTCCGCCCGGTAGTCAGTATCCCCTTCCCGACTAAGACTGTGCGGTGCGGTGGTTGGTTTGCCCGACTGGCCGTCTATCAGACAAAGATCATGGGGGTGGTCCTGAATGGGTACGCTGAAATTGTGTGTTTTACTCGTCGATGTGGATCGCGACTCAAAGGTCGTTGGAAGCTTGATCTCAGGAAGTTTTGTCATGTTACCCGAGTCAGCCATCCATACCAATATGAAAGTCGAAACTATTGGTGATGGCTTTGACTTGACAGCTGTTTGCCAATAGGAAAACATGTGCCAGCCACTCGATGTACCAATCAAGTTCCCTCATTTCGTTTGAGAGTTCACTACGAGAAGGTTGAGGAGATATGTTCCGTTTTCAAGGCCATCATCGGCTCTGTCATTATGGTATCAAAAAGAAAAAGATCTCCCTAAACTGTGATCCCCACCTTGGGTCTACCGTCGGAGCTGTAAATCCATGCTATGCTAAATCCGCCAAATTTTTGATTTCTTTTCCCGTCCATGCCATGCTTTCGTGACAAAATGTTGTTTACAATGAAGAAAAGGTCTTCTCAAATGCAGAGATCAAAATGGGCACTGTAGAGATGTATGTTAGACTCCTGGTCGTATAAGATAAGGTGAGTGTTTCTTCAAGAGACTTACCATGTGCCTCCTCAAAGATGAGCATGGGGCGGAGACGGATGGTCTCCTTGCCGCAAGCGCCAATGTTGACGCCGAGGCGCTTCATCGAGCCCGTGACGGCCGCCGCGCTCTGGGTGTCGAAGGCGACGTAGGTGCCCTGGCCCTTGCCGCGGAGGTTCATGACGTGATCGGGGTACTTTTGGGCGAGCTTCTCCATCTCGGCGTAGAGAACTTCACCAACGCGAGCCTGTGACACGTGTGAGTTTGTAAGTCATGATGAGTCTGGAATGGTTCACTTACGGTCTGCTCCACGAGCTTCTTCTCGCGGATCTCGTCAATGACTGCCTTGCAGACGATGACGCGGGCGGCATCACCCATCCAGCTATAGGTTCGTTAGCGACAATTGAAGAGATGGAAGAAAATTTGGATGAACATACGTGTTGAACTGGCGGTAGGCCTTGTCGGGGACCAGCATGCGGTCGCCAAAGTAGTAGCCGGCAGTCTGTGCCTTCTTGGAGAAGGTGACGATATCGGGAGGGGAGGTGAGGTTCCAGTGAGCGTGGCCCCAGAACTTGCCAGTAGCGCCGAAGCCTGATCAACACATGAGTACGACTGCATAAACTTTTCATGTCAAGGAGAGCCACTCACCAGTCTGGACCTCATCAACAATCATGACAACAGCATGCTTCTGCGTAATGTCGCGCAGACCTTGGAAAAAGGCAGGGGAAGCGTGGTTATCACCGCCCTCGGACTGGATAGGCTCAACGATAACAGCAGCAACGGGGCAGTGCCAGCTCTGGATCAGCTCCTCCACCTCCTGCAGGCAGCGCTTCTCCTCGGCCTCGTTCTCGGCCGCGTACTTGTCCAGGGGGTACTTGAGCGCCGGGAACGAAGCCTGGGGCCAGTTGAACGAGGGGATATCGAGCTTGTGCACGGCCTTGCTGCGCGTGGTGGACAAGCTGCCGAAGCCGCGTCCGTGGAAGGAGTTCTTGAAGCTCATGATGGCCAGCTCGGGGGAACCGGGGGTGGTGTTGTGCAGGCACGAGTGGATCTCCTCGTGGGACCACTCGGCCTCGCCGCGCTCGCGGCGGCGGTAGAGCATGAAGGCGGCCTTGTAGGCCAGCTCGTTGGCCTCGGAGCCGGACTGGGCGGTGAAGATGTGGTTGAGTCCCTCCGGGGCGGCCTTCATGAGGCCGTTCTGGAGGAGGTCGTGCCAGGCGCCCGAGGGGAAGTTGCCGATGGCGGGTCTGTTGACGAGGGCGGAGATCATCTCGGGGGACTTGGCGGCCTCGATGAGGGTGGGGTTGTTGTAGCCTACCGGGATGGAGGCGATCTGGGAGTAACTGTTTTGAGAACCGGGGGAGATTAGCGAGATGCGGGTCGATTGTGGTGTGCCCGGCGAGGTGATCGGCGGCTGCGGCTCCGGGGAGTGGACTTACACATCGAGGTACTTGTTGCCGTCAACGTCGACGATGCTACAAAGCACCTGTTGTTAGCACGAGGTTCTACCAAGACAGCCGGTGGTTGCTGCGTACTAGTTTCCGGAACTCTTGTCGTAGTCGACGACGAAGTGAACGGCGCGGGCGTCAAAGAAGGTATCGAGCTTCTTTGCGCTGGCCTTGGAGATAGGTCCAGGGACCTCCGTAGTGACCGAGTGCTCAATGACAGCGGGCATCTTGAAGGTCTGGTCTTGATCTGAGCAACTGAGCTGTGGTGATCTTGTAAACGAGTCTTGGAGAAGGTGCGATACAGTGTAAGGTGTATGTATATCTGTTTTTTTTTAAGAGACTCTTGAAGCTTGCTTGATACAAAAACCCATCGTCAAGTGTTGGGAGATCGAGTATTTATCGTCCGTGGTGACGCCCGAAAGCTTCCGTTCGCCCCTTCTGCGTGTGGGAGCCGGGCACGAGCCGGCCGGTCCCGAACCGGCGCCCCATCCGGGCCCAGGCCAAGGCGTAAGAGTGAACCCCGCCAAATCTCCATTGAATCTAGCATGACCCATCCTTAAAATCCCGATTGCGGCTCATGCCAAACACATTGTGCATTGAGGCGTTCTGGGGCGAGAGTTTTAGTGTACAGAATTGGTCTATTTTCTTGCCATTTTCAGCGGGTTCAAATCACAAGATGTGTCAAACCCCCCTCCGAGTGCCCCACTCCGGGCCCGGGCCGGTCCCACTCAAAACCACAATTGTCGTTCCCACACCGGTATCAGACAGGCGACAACGATATCGCACTGCCGCCAACTTTGACGCCATCGTGAAAGGGTTCATATAAACAGTCGACCGCATGAGGCTGTCCGGCTTACCGCGGTGGTTCTGTAGTCATCAGACCACTTTTCTGCAGGAACCAAGATCGAGGTGCATTACTTTTACTCACAATGGCATCAGCACATCAAGTAAGTGGGGTCCTCCCGTTAGAGGACATGAGCCTCTTAGTGAATGTCATTCGTTTGCTAAACTATTGTGATGTTACAGTTGAAAGATGCTTCCCTGCTGAAGACATCATGCTACGTCAACGGGCAATGGATTGGCGCCAAATCTGAGAAAGTATTCTCAGTCGAGAGTGAGTAGTTCACCACCACATCAACTCGGGAGGAGCAGCCAAGCTGACACTCTCACCAGACCCTTCAACCCTCACCGAGGTAGCAAAGTGTCCCGAGTTCGACGAAGCCGACACCGAAGCATCCATCCTCGCCGCCCACGATGCCTTCAAATCCTTCCGCAAGACCCCGGCACGCGCCAGAGCGCGCCTCCTCCGGAAATGGTTCGACCTCATGATGGAAAATGCCGACGACCTCGCCAAGATCATCACCCTGGAGAACGGCAAGCCTCTGGCCGACGCAAAGACGGAAGTCGGCTACGCCGCCTCCTTTTTCGAGTGGTTCTCCGAGGAGGCGCCCCGGATCTACGGCGACACCATCCAGGCGAGTAACCCAAGCTGCCGCCTCGTCACTCTCAAGGAGCCTATCGGCGTTTGCGGCCTCATCGCGCCGTGGAACTTCCCTGCGGCCATGATTACACGCAAGGTCGGCCCCGCGCTGGCGGCCGGGTGTACCGTCGTCGTCAAGGCGCCGGCCGAGGCACCCCTGACGGCGCTGGCTCTCGCCGAGCTCGCTCATCGCGCGGGTATCCCCGCGGGCGTGGTGAACATCATCACGGCCCTGGATAACACCATTTCCGTAGGGAAAGTGCTGACGACGCACCCGGTCATCAAGAAAGTGTCCTTCACCGGCTCGACGGGCGTCGGAAAGCTGCTGATGAACCAGTGCTCCTCAACACTCAAGAAGTTGTCCTTTGAGCTCGGCGGCAACGCCCCCTTCATCGTCTTCGAAGACGCCGATCTAGACGCGGCGCTCAAGGGCCTCATCGCGTCCAAGTTCAGAATCTCGGGCCAGACGTGCGTGTGCGCTAACCGGATCCTGGTCCACAGCAGCGTGTACGACAAGTTCTCGCAGATGGTCGTGGACGCCATCAAGACCTTTACCGTCGGCGACGGGTTCGCCGAGACAACGACGCACGGCCCGCTGATTCACAACCGCGCCGTCGCCAAGGTCGGCGAGCACGTCAAGGATGCCGTCGCCAAGGGCGCGCGGGTGCTTCTCGGCGGCAAGCCCCTGACCGAGCTGGGGTCCAACTACTTTGACCTCACCGTGCTGGCGGACATGAAGCCCGGCATGAAAATTTGCTCCGAGGAGACGTTTGGGCCCGTGGCGGCATTGTTTGCGTTTGATACCGAGGAGCAGGCTGTCGAGCTTGCTAACGATGCGGACGTTGGTCTTGCGGGGTACTTCTTCAGCAAGGACGTGTCGCGGTGCTGGCGTGTGGCGGAGGCGCTCGAGGTTGGCATGGTTGGCGTAAACATTGGTAAGTTGTCCAGTTGTGAGAGCATTTGATGGATGACTTTTGCTAACGAGCTGCTTCTAGGAGCCATCAGTGATCCCGCCGCGCCCTTCGGTGGCGTGAAGCAGAGCGGATTTGGCCGCGAAGGAAGCAAGTATGGCATTGACGAGTTTTTGGTCACCAAGATGGTTATGACTGGCATTGAATAATGCCGCTTTTCCTGTCATGATTTATTTTCTTTCTTAGACTATACCCTACCAAGTATCTTAGATGATAGAATAGAATACTTTTCCACGAAAAATATGCCTTTCCTTATGACCACTGCCATTGGTATCCCCTGGCCCCGCCGGGAGTAGGAGTGATAGAGATAGAAGCAAGATATTGAGAGGAACTAGGGTAGTTTGTCACCCACCCACCTACCTTCTTTCACAGGTAGTCAAGCGTAGCTTACTCACAATGCTCTTAGTGTCATAATTCGAAAGGAATTGTAGTTTAAAGCCATCATTTTTGAAAGCCAAAAGGCTATCACGGTTGAAATGGTCATGATGAGAAAGAAAAATAGCTATTTCAGACCACAAACCTTACCATTAGTGTACCCCACTAGACCATTAAGGTGTGATTGACCCTTCCATGTGAAGAACACGCTTCTTTCTGGCTCTGGGAATATAAACTCATGAAGGTGATGGCCCATATCCCGAGCAGGCTCCGTGGCTCCCATCCACTAATTTAAGGTTGTATATTGTAGGTTGATACTGACTTCCATCGGGTATCAAAAGGTGCTCCTTTCTCTTTGGGATTCGCCCAGTCAAGCCACTAGAGGACCTTGGTCTTCCGATCATATTAGTCTAGTAGTCCAACGATAGGGACCTACTGAAGGATCAAGGGGCATGGAGGATATTCTTCTACAGATGAATCCCTAAAATCCTGAAAGAACACGAAAAAAAGGCGGGTCATTCATTGTCCATTGGTTACCTGCTGCCTGAATGTGTGCCTTTTTGGCAAAAACCTCACCAACTCACCTGTCACCCTCCCTTTGTGCCGACCTGAAGCCTGAGGCGGGAGACAACCTGAAATCTCTTCACTGTGAAAAAGTCATTTTGAACTGGATTATTTTTTCTTTAAAGTGGAGTCATGTGACCTTTAGGCATGAGGAGAAAAAGAAAATGACTGGAAGCCTTTCAAGTCCCCGTCCTTTCGAAAACTTTCTTCCAGGACCTTGGAGGCTGTAGGTGAACCGTCTTTTCCCAATACAAAACTCTTCTTCTCACAACGTACGCGGCAGCGACACCTTTCTACTCGCACCAACCCGCGCAACGGAATTTCGTTGTAAGCTGCGCGCCTCATTTTACAGAACACGCATCATTCGGACTACCGTCACGGTGTCACCCGAAGTCAACCACCAACACTTGCGACACAGACCAATACAACAAACTCAAAATGTCGTCAAGCACTCCAAAGCCTTCGGATTCCGAAAGCGACCCATACCTGCTGACGAATCTTTCTGAATGCCTGTCGGGGCACCCCCATTTCGACTTCCTTCAGCCCATGCTACCTCAGTTCCGAGCAGAGAACTTGGACACCTCATCTCGATCCCACTCCGCCCTTGCCACAGAAACAGCAGTGCCATACACGCACGACTCTCGCAATACGTCGCCGCCTCCAATGACTCCTCAACACTGTCATCAAGCCTCATCATATGCATCACAATTTCGTCCGCCGTGCTTGCTCCTAGCTGCTGAGGAAGAACAGCCTTCGGCCGAGCTGCCAAGATCGACAGGCCAACAGGCTAAAGACAAGATGCCCGAGGTGTCTCCGGAGACTGAGCCCTTCATCAGCGATGTGAGCAGGGCCAAAGACTTCGAACAATACAGCAAGGGAAGCAAGTTGGTGCTCAATTACCAACACCCGCGACGGCCTTACGGTCGCTCTGAGTATCCGAACCCCCCAGACGTCAACAGCGATGACAAAGTGTTGTCCGAAGACGAGATGGAACTTTCTCGCACCGGCTTGGTTTATCACGATCGACACATCAGCAATCCTACTCCCAACCTAGTCAGGGCCATTGTCAACGTCACAGTCGTGGACACCATATCCACCGGTATGACGGGCGGCGCTCAGATACTTCTGTGCAAGGTTGAGGAAGCCCGATACCATGGCGAAAAGGACAAGAAGCCGAAAGGTATCAGCCGTGTCCTCTCGGGCTCGTCCTCTCGAGTGACGAAGCGTTCTTCTTCTAAACGCAAGTCCTTCTTCGGTATCATGGAGCACACATCCGATTCTGCTTCATCTCAAAAGAGACATAATCAAGAACAGTCCATCTTCACCGGTCCAAGCCTAGTCGGGCGTGGTACCGCCGGAGAACACTTGGTTGTGGGTCAGCTTGTGGTGGTCAAGGTCTACGACGCCATGTACTATCCTTTCAACTATGGAATGTATCAAGGTCCCTGGAAGGCGACCTCTAGAGCCGATCAAGAACACAGCCGTGAGGCCGGAACTTATGAACACCTGTGGATTCACGACAAGACTGGTTATCCACATCTTGCGCCTCAATATTACGGGTCCTGGGCCATCGAACTGGCGACTACGAACCCAGTGGTTGAGGACAAGCAGCGGTTCGCCAGAGCCATTGCCATGGAATACATCGAAGGAAGCAGCATCGAGGAGATTTGCCGGCGAACCATCGAGACATACCAACTGGTTCCTCGCGATCAAGCAAACCCTACGCTGGCTGATGGCACAAAGTGGTTCTGTGGTTGGGAGCTTCGCTTGAAAACCCTCAAAGACCTTGTGGACGGCTACATGGACTTTCTTCACGTTGGCGTCTCCATGGGTCTCGATCCCCAGAACATAATCCTCACCGGAAAGCTTGGGGACAGAAAGCTGGAGTCGCCTCGCGTTGTGGCGGTTGACTACGTCAACGCCTTGGTCGACGATCAGAGGAAAACGCCCAACAAGGTGTACCAACCTCACAAGATGCCGCCTCATCCCTGGGGAGAAGTATCTTTGAGGAAGCTGGAACTCTTCTCCGGCTGGATCCCCCACCACTGGACTGCCAGGCAATTTGAGGGCTGGCTTCATCACGTCTATGGACCGCTGGATAACCCGGATTACACGGACCCCAGAATCTCGAAAGCGCCCCCGAGCAAGCAAGATCCTCAACCTTCGCATACTTCAACGTGAACAATATGATACACAAGGGTTGCTCTCAGTATCAAAGCAAACTAAGAATCAATGAAGGTGAAGATGCATTAGTAGATCTGAGGTGGTGCTTTAGGGCCGAGGTCGTGCAAGGAGACACTGGGTATGATGTAGGGATAGTTTTGAGTCAATGGAAGATGGAGGAGGCATATCCACGTATCAATGTCAATGCGCCTGAAGGCGGTGGCATTATCGCTGGGCATTTGAGGTCGCCTCGGAACCAGACACGGTTCTGTTAGATCGTGGGAGATGGGGCATTCTCAGCAGTAAGCTTGTAAGTGTCATTAGGTAGTTCAACACGAAACCTCTCTGATGAAACTCACCTGTCTCGTTGCTTTGAATCACTTCACAAGTGAGTGGCAAAGTAGAAAGCCAGTAGACAAAGGTTTGTAACACTCAAAAAGTTGCTTACTTATGAATCTCACTTTCTCAATGTTCCATTTGTATTTTCTGTCAGTCTTGTTTCCATCGTGATGATATCTATTGACATGTTTATCTCTTATATGTTTATTACCTAGAGACTACTGTATTAAAAACAATATAAAGAGGAATAGCAGGAATAGAGCTAGGCTTCCTCCGGAGAATGAATATACCACCTACTTGCTTCGATCAGCATTCTTTTGATCCTAGGCTGGTAGAGCAGCCTTCTCGCCCTCAGCACGTACCCAAGGCAGCCTGCTCATTCTGCGCACGCAAGGCAGCCTTACCTTGCCCTTGTGTTTTTTTCTTCCTACCGTGATCCCCTCCCATCCTCCTTCCTACCTTTACCTCTCAACTTTTTACCTCCCAGCTTTACCCAGCTCCCATCCTCTTCCACCCCGCGAATTTTCAACCTTGCGAATTCTTGATATCGCGATATTCTATCCCGCTACTCTTCACGTTGCGACTTTTGGCAAAACATTCGAGTCACAACATCGACAACGCAACATCACTTAGCACTTCGCTCTTTCGCGTGACGTGTCGCAGAAACATCACTGACTTCTCTTGTGTAAACCTCCCCCTCTTGCGCACAGCACCATCTTTGGTCTGTCAACTAATGTTCAACGAACTCTAGCTTTATCATTCTAAGCTTCATCATCCCGAGCTTCACCATCCCAAGCTTCATCATCCCAAGAGAACGGACATCATGGCGCAGCCCAACCTTCTCCTCGATGATATCATCAATGGCACCAGACTAAATGATCACCTACCTCTGAATAGGCTGGATGACGGAACCATTCGCCAATACACTCACGAGGAGAGCGAGTCGGTCGCTCAGCTTGAGATTGACTTCAAGCTAGTTCGCGTCGACCCCCAACGCTTGGTTACAGAAGGAGCATACTTATTCCAGACGGCCAGGGCTGCCAACGTGTTCGCCGGATCTTCCTTCGGCCAGGCACAGGCCCCAATCAAGGACCCCAGCCTTGTCATCCAAAACGAGGATATGCTTACGAAGTTGTTCTACAAAGACGTCCTTAGTGGAGTAGCAACAGCTTTTCACGAGCTCCCCCGATGGGAAGATGATGGTCAAGCCTACTACCCGGAAGACGTCCAGACACTTACAGAGAGAACTTACACGTTCATTGCGCCGGCTAGGCAAGACACCAAAAAGAGAAAGAAGCAGGTTCAGGCGGGAGCGAACATGAAGTACACGTTCCGGTGCGATGCAGAGTTCCACAAGGGGGCTCCAAGAGGATACACTATTGATGAGCAGAAAACCAAAACCATATTCAACATGGAGGCGAAGAAGCCCTTCGTGATTCCGATTGAAGCCTGGTATCAATCATCAATCGATGCGAGCCATGCCGAGGGAGGCGGCGGGTCCATCGCATCTCACAGCAATGTCCCACAGCCTCCACCCCCAGTATCCCATGGGAGCAGAAGAGCTGGACCATCGGCGTCTGGTTACACACCCAGCTACCAGTCGTTCCCGGGCGCCTCAAACCCAGACCTTTTCATTCGCGTTGCTAATGCGGACACCCAGTCGGCTTAGAACGACGATCTGGGAATGCCTGACTTCGGCGACGGCGGTTACGACGACGTGGCACCGGCCTTTGGTCAAGACCAGGAGGTCCCTCATCCCTCACCCGCGGGCCTCGGCTACAAGATCGACATCAATGTGGAAAGATGCGTCAAGCAGATCGCTTCTTACTGCAAGCGTTCGAGGAGCCGCCGGGGCGCCATCTTTACCGGAGAGTACATTGTAGTGTGCTTCTTTAAGAACATGAGAGTCATGGATACGGTTGTTCAGCAGATGGAGGAAGGACTAGGTGACATCTGTCAGATGTCCATAGTCCCTAACTCCGGAGACTGGAGAGCAGTCGTTGCAGCCTGCATTCATCGTGGCTACGAAGATTTCAAGCTTGATTACTATGGCAGATGGCGACCGACATGGTAGGTCTAGGGTGTTCCTAGTCCATTGGAGAGTGCACCGGGCCGGGTCACACAGACCAACCGGTCTCGGGACCGGACCCGCTCTCCAGTGGTTATCGATATCCGGAATGATACTACCAATAACTGCCCAGGCAGTCTAACGCACGGCTTGGTCATCTACCATTTGGCAGCCGGCATGACGGATCCCCGTACGGATACGGATTATCTTCATTGTGGAAACGCGGGGGACAGTGATAGTGGCTGGGGATGGAATATGCGAAGATACGGTCGTCGTCGCCGCAGAGGAGATAACGAGTTGTTTCGGGTATCCTGGTTTCTGTCTATCAAACTGTCCAAGTACCTACCTTACCTATCCGTAGTCTAGTTGAACTACCGATAACAATGCGGGGTTTAGCCACGCCCAACTCTATCTGTCCCGTATCAAGGAAAGACACAGTTTTCCGACTCAGTGCACGCATTACGCGTGATACGCTGGTTGATCGTCAGCACCAATAGTAGATAAGACTTTATAAGAGCATTAGTTCCCTTCCCTCAAGTTGTATGTTTGGTGATGTTGTCTCCGTGATCGACGCGTTGCCTAAGTTGCGATTGAGTCTATTCCAGGCCAAACCCAAAACAGTTCCATTCATCATGGCCGACATCAAGACAGAAAAGCCTCAGCCAGAGGTTTCCGACGCTGCGGATACGGCCGAGGCGTACACTGAGAAAGTCACGCTATACGAGCACGACTTGGAATTGGAACAAGCGTTGGCAAACTATGTTCCAGATTCTCCGGAAGAGAAGGCCCTCGTGCGGAAGCTCGACTTATACATGGTAAGGCTTTTCTCTCCCCCCCCCCCCCCCTGGCTCGTCTGCTGGGTTGAACAGTAGTCGAAATCCGAGTCAGCAATGGCGCGATGCTAACGCCCATGGCAGGGGCCGACGTTGTGGTTCATGTACATTTTAGCGTACATCGACAGGCAGAATATCGTGAGTCTATCGCGGCAGATTACACGCAGGGGTGCCTGAACTGACTTGTCACAAAGGGCAATGCCAAAGTTGCTGGTATGGAAGCAGACCTCAAACTCACAGACGACCGTAAGCGCCCCTACACAAGCCCAGGCGAAAGGAGTCAAAGAAATCGGTATTGACAAAGATGATGTATGATGCAGAATATGCCATGTTGCTTTCGATCTTCTTCATTGGTTATCTCGTCTGCGAAGTTCCTTCGAACATGCTGCTCACTCGATCCCGCCCGTCGTACTACCTGCCCGGTATCATGATTGTCTGGGGCACCGTATGCTCCGTGATGTCGGTCGTCAAGAACTACGAAGGAATGCTGGCTCTTCGGTTCTTTCTCGGCTGCATCGAGGCCGGATTCTTCCCTGGTGTCTTGTACGTGATGACTTGCTGGTACAAGAAGGCAGAAATCGGTAAGTACCTACCTACCTTATTACCTACTATCACGGTATCACCCGCGAGTCCCGTACTTTAATCTACTTTTCATCTGTAAAAGTAGCTAAAGTACAGATGGATGCCAAGCCCCACAACTGGTCTACGTCAGCTCGTACTAAGGTCAAATTGCGTTTTACAGGCAAGAGGTTTTCAATCTTCTACACCGCTTCTGTGTGCTCCGGCGCCGTGAGCGGCCTCCTCGCTGGCGCAATCACCGGTAATATGGAAGGCGTTCGAGGCATGCGAGGATGGCGATGGCTCTATCTGATTGAGGGCGTCTGCACGGTCGGGTTCGCCATGATTTTCAAGTTCGTGCTGCTCGACTTCCCCGAGACAACGAAGCGCTTCTCAATGGAGGAACGGCAACTTGCCGTGGTCCGCATGATCCACGATCGGCAGACGACGGCGGCGCGACACGGCCAGCGCCTCACTCACTGGCAATCTCTCAAGGCCGCGCTGGCCGACCCGCGGACGTACATCTTTGTGGTGCTCTTCACGATGGACCTGGGCTCCTGCACAATCTCCTACTTCATCCCCACGATCGTCAAGCAGATGGGCTACACGTCGGTCATGGCGCAGTACATGACCATCCCCATCTGGATGGTCGGCGCCGTCTTCCTGCTCGTGCTCTCGTACACGGCCGACAAGACGAGGGACCGCAGGTGGCACATCACGGGGTGCATGTGTCTCAGCTTCATCTGCACGCTCGTCTGCGTGACCGTGTCGAACCCCAAAGTCGTGTACGCCATGCTGTGCTTCTACATTGCAGGCCTGTACACGGCGCTCCCGCTCATGCTTAATTGGACGTCCGAGGTCATTTCGCTCCCTGCGGAAAAGCGCGCCGTGGTGGTGGCCCTGGTCAACTCTGTCGGAAATCTCTCGGCGGTCTACGGCAGTAGGCTTTGGCCCTCGTCGGACGGGCCCCGGTTTGTAAAGGGGTTCGCGGTCACGGGTGCCTTCACCGGCTTCGGAACTATTTTGGCGGCGCTGATTCCTGTCATCTTCTCTTACCTGCCCAAGGAGGGTAACACCAAGGCTGAGAAGGAGATCTTGGCACGCGAGAGAGAGTTTGTTGAGGATACCAGAGCCCCTGGTGAAGTTTAAAGTCGTATGAGTTTGCGAACTGGCAATATGGGCAAAGGGAAAACGACGCCCGGGTCGGGACGGTGGGTGGTAGTGGGAGATCGAATTCAATTCGCCTCCATCAGCATTGGTAAGACAAGGAGGGGGGAGGGGGTTCGTACCGAGGAGTTAATATAAATATATGAACTGCAACTTTGAATGGCACCTTGACAATTCACAAAGCCATATTTTATGGAACAGCGTTCCCCCCCCAGGAAAGAGAGTTGCCGATCACAGTAAACACAGGTTCAGGTCAGCCATGATGATTGGAGGCTTTGGAGGTTCTGGTTCGCTTCTATCCGCCATTCTGACGGTCTGACCGCTGCTGCCGTGTGTCCCGGCAAACAGAGCCGAGATCCAATTTTGATGGCCAAAGGGATGTAAGGGAACAGGTCGGGAATACTGGGTGTTGTGGTGCTGTTCCCAGAGTTCCCACAAGAGTTTCCATCTCACCGGAAAAGTCGATCCTTTGAAGAAGTGACGGGAACCACAATTCATCCTCGTCATCCTTGTGGCTTGATAACGGATATCGTTCAAGATGTGGCTCCCTGTGGGCTGTGGCTCCTCCATATGGGGCTTCCTCGAGTTCCTCGTGGGCTGGGCTTGAGGCTCAATCTATTTCTTGGCATGCATATCCTGGTCTCTGGGACCTTGACAACTTTTGGTGTACGAATTCTGCCCGGGATTGGATCTCACCCCTGAATGGGCACGGATTGCGAAGGAGAAGAAATGTCAGCCAAAGGCATTAGCCGCCTAGTTCTCATAATCAGCCCGTCCAAACTAACCCCGTTCGAGGCATCCGGCTGCCCATGCCATCCTGACTCGAAACACTAAGGAGAGACAACCCGCACCAAGCAGAAATGGCGTGTGTGTTTTTTCTGCTTCCGATTGACTTTCTCTCCCTCCGCAGACCACGTCCTTGAGAAAAAGGTTTCTTTTTTGCAGTACGGGGGGGAAGACTGACTGCCGTCACGACTCACAATACACGTGTAACCGAAAAGTAAAAATTAAAGTCCACGAAGGAGCTTGGGCCAAATAAATGGAGCCTGATGCGCCTACCGCGGTTTATGCTTAACAGATCTTATCCCTTCTCAGGACGACATAGTACTGCGGTATGTGACATTGTCACACGTAGAGTCGGAGACAGGCCGAGGCTAGAAGCTTGTTAGTTTATTTTCTCACAACCCCTGATTTGTTCTGATGGATTACTGGGTCTCTCAGTCTCTGTGAGTTAGAGTATGCCAATGCCCACGCGCGTATTGCTCTTCCATGTCTGTGCCGCAGGGCGGCGTTTGTGGCGTGCCCGAGTTTGCTAATGCTAACAAATGTCAGAAAGTACGCATACCTACCTAGTAAGACGCCATCAACCGGGAAATTTTCAACCGTTTCATCGGAACGAGTTATGGAGAGCTTACGGAGTAGAGCGTGGTGCTCTGCATTTTGGAGCTCCCTTTTCTCGGATCCCATGTGTCCTTAGTGGCGGAAATTTCTCTGAACCCATGTTTGGCACCTTGCAGACGGAGTAGTCTCTCCTCTCAAAAACGAATGGCACCCTAGGAGCGCGAACTGCCGCTCGTGGACATGAGTACTGACTGGTTTGGACACCCCGTGACCCCGTGACATCTCACTGCAGCAGGTCCTCTCCGTGCTCCATCGCTGGCAGTCTCTAGTCTCCGGGAGGGGGGCAGCCACACTTCCCAACTCCCGCCCCTCCCCCCCTTAACGCGGCCCTACCAGCGGAGATTTCTGTTCGTCTTTTCATTGATGGAAGTGACGCCACAGACGAATGCGAGGCCGTGCGAGGGCCCGCGAGCTAGGCCGAACGTCTTCGTCGACGGGCTCGATTCGGATTGTGCCGCCGAAGCTATCACCGCAACCCCGGGTCGGACGGGGGTGACGTGGTAGATGAAGGGGTCACAGAGCGCAGCAAATCCCCACGAATCAGTGGGGATTACCCACCACTCTATCCCTCGAACAAGTCGGCTCCGGCACCCAACGCCATGATTCTTCGGAAAGTAGTGTGGGTGGGTTAAGCAATGTTCCTCGGCCGACTGCGCAATTGGGGGCGTGCTTTTCTTTCGAAGGCCTAGAAGGATGAGGAGCCGTGAGATGAGATGAGGCCTTCGTCTGGCCCTGCTGGTGGGGGGTTCTCTTTGAAGGCTTGGTGGTTAGGGGGGCTACTCTATCCGTACTACCTGGGTTGCTTGGGAAAGGAGATGGAAGACATGGAGGAAGGGGGCTCGTTGAAGGAGCGGCGTCAAGGAGCGGCACAGCTTCCAAACAAACATATATGATCGACCTTGAGCTGCGCTCTTTGACTTGGAAGCTCCCTTTTTACTCCAGCGGCTTTCGTCCTCTTGTCTCTCTTTCACATCCGACCAAACACTCTTCGTTCTTTTGTATCTACCTTTTTATTCTTCTTGTTCGAAAGCCTTCTAAATATGAGATCTGCTCTTCTCTCCGTGGCACTGGCTGCCTTCGCCCCCTTGGCTCTCGCCGCCGACGCCGTCTCTGGCGCCGCTGAGGGCTTCGCCAAGGGAACCACCGGTGGTGGTAGCGCCACTCCCGTCTACCCTTCCACCACCTCCGAGCTCGTCTCCTACCTCACCGACTCCTCCGCCCGCGTCATCGTCTTGACCAAGACCTTTGACTTCCGCAATACTGAGGGTACCACCACTGCCACCGGCTGCGCTCCTTGGGGTACTGGCTCTGCTTGCCAGACTGCCATCAACAAGGACAACTGGTGCACCAACTACCAGCCCAACGCCCCCAAGGTCTCCACGACGTACGTAGAGAATCACTTACATCCTGCTGGTATACAGTGACTTTCATGATACTAACTTTCTCACTTCATAGCTACGACAACGCTGGCCTGAACCCCATCAAGCTCGGTTCCAACAAGTCCCTCATCGGACAGGGCAGCAAGGGTGTCATTATTGGCAAGGGTCTCCGCATCACCGGCGGCGCCAAGAACATCATCATCCAGGTATGAAGACTTATTCCACTGGGCTAGTCACTATCATGCCGGCCAGGGGCTAACTACCGGTGCTAGAACATCCACATCACCAACCTGAACCCCAAGTACGTCTGGGGTGGTGATGCCATCACTCTCGACGGCTCCGACCTCGTCTGGATCGACCACGTCAAGACCTCCCTGATCGGCCGCCAGCACATCGTCCTCGGCAACGGCGCCTCCAACCGTGTCACCATCTCCAACAACGAGATTGACGGCTCGTCCTCCTGGTCCGCCACCTGCGACGGTCACCACTACTGGGGACTCTACTTCACCGGCAGCAACGACATGGTCACCTTCAAGAAGAACTACGTCCACCACACCTCTGGCAGAGCCCCCAAGGTCGCCGGTAACACGTACGTATAATTCCTGCCAGTTTTGGGCAATTTGGTGCTGGCGAACTTTCCGACTAACAAGAATCCATCACAGTCTCCTCCACGCCGTCAACAACTACTGGTACGACAACTCCGGCCACGCGTTCGAGGCCGACGCCGGTGCCAAGATCGTCGCCGAGGGCAACATCTTCCAGAACGTCGTCGCCGCCTACCAGACCGGTCTCGCCGGCCAGGTCTTCGCCTCCCCCGACTCCACCACCAACGCACAGTGCTCCACCAACCTCGGCCACGCCTGTCAGCTCAACGCCTACGGCTCCAGCGGCACCCTGGTCGGCTCCGACACCTCCATCCTCGCCAACTTCGCCGGCAAGAACGTCGCTTCTGCCGGCACCGCCAACGACGCCAAGGCTGTTGCCACCAGCGCCGGCTTCGGCAAGCTCTAAGCGCTTTTGCTTGGATTGCTTGCCCCCTTTTTATCTCTCCTGTTGGAGTCTTTCAGTGGTTGTAATTGGGGGAGGTGTTGAGTCGGGCACACGCAAAGAGACCAACGACAGATTCATGTACATATCTTACTACTTTACCGTCGAGGACGTAAATATCATGCTTGATGCATCACACATTGCACATATTACGCAAAATATCAATACCCAGAATTCCATACATGTGAAGATTACGGTTCTAGTTTTGTCAAGCGACGAGCTTGTACGATTCAAGGCCTCCGTGACTTTCATGCCATTTTGCAGGACAGAGAACGTGGGATGATTACATTACAAATCCTCTTATACGTTTCCACTCAGATGGAAAGTCAATCTCGGCTTACTCTACGCAAGTACCAGACAAGTGGTGCGTTTCTCAAGCAAACCATAGACTGCGGTTGGAGTTATCTGGATGCCCTCCAGCCAACCTACATCCTATACTTTATTCATTTTTTGAAAAAGAAAAAACGCTCCAAGAGCCAAGTAAGCATTCAGTGATCTACCAGCCTACCTAGTTACCTGACATTAGGTCTTCGTAGCACATGGTTCTCGCCGTCAGCCGTCATCTTGAGAAATTGTGGATCTCGATCATGGAGAGCGGGGTGGCACCCGGAGGGCCGGAGCTGCTCGGCCCACCACGATACCCGGAATCTAAGCCCCCGATGTGCCCCACTCGGACCCGAAGCCCTCGGGCTTTGGCTGGCTTCCGTGTCCCCCGTATTCACAGAGGTACACCGCCGAAAAGGTGTCACAGAACCATGGGCGGAAGAAACCTTTTGTTCTGGGTTATAGAGCCGACCCTTCTGTCATCCTCTTTCGGGAGGATCTTCCTCCTCTATATCCTTTTCATCTACAATACTCAATAAGCCAGTCATATTTATCTACCAAGACGTACCCGCAAAGATAAATCACACTGCACTAGACTTAAACGCGCTCACCAAAGCAAGAATCGAAATCGCCTATTCTACACAGCAAGTCCCTCTCTGCATGCGAATAACCGATCGCAATATCACTAACATACCTAAGCAGACAAGATACCTACCTCATCATGCCCGACCCCGGCCTTACAATGCTTGCCATCTCCGCCGTGCTCTTCCAGGTGATCGTCATTATCGCAGTGTGGCATACCACGTCGCTCCGTCGCTCCACCGACGACCC